ACATATATATGTTTTCCTCCGATTTTAGGTAAATGGGGCACCAAAGTCCCTAAATAGCTTTCGATATGCACGGAATTTGGCATACTGTTTTGAATTAAATCTAGAACGATGTGTGTTAAGTTTCTTGAATATCGGTTCAGGTTTATATATAGCTACAATACATATAGTAGTGTTGGCGGTTTATTTGGGATACCATTTGTATTTTGTTTTTGCAAAATAGTCAGGCTGAATCCCAGGTGTGGTATTGTTTGTAAATGCCTTGTTAACCTCGAAGTGAGGTTCCAGCGAAATTCTCATGCAGTTTATGTCGTTGGTCAGCTAAGTACTTCGCTTTGTTACAAGAGACATTTGGGTATGAAAGGTTTTTTGTATAGAAGCAATATCTTCTGGGGAGAATATCCCAACAAAAAACTAAGGGAACTGATGAGGATCATATATATATATATATATATATATAGTGCACCAAAATCCCCATACATCCTTCGATTTGCACGAAATTTAGCATAGCATACTGGATTAAATCTAGATCGATGAGTGTTAAGTTTCGTGAAAATCAGTCCAGATTTAGATATACCTCCCATATATATTTTCATCCGATTTAGTGCACCAAAGTCCCTAATTATCCTTCGATTTACACAAAATTTGGCATAACGTACTGAATTAAGTCTAGAACGATGAGTCTTAAGATTCGTGAAAATCGGTTCAGATTTCGATATAGCTCCCAACGACGTAGCCAGAGGGGGGCCCTTGAATGACGTTATTGCGTTTTGTTGAAATTGGTGCAGATGTAGCCATAGCTTCCATATGTATTTCGAACGGGTGTTTGATTGAGATTGAATTTTTAACAATGCAACGTACCGAATATCGAATATCTTGCTATACATCGTTTTCCATAAAATTGTCCAATGGTACAAAGACGAATCTAAATCTGCCCAAATGAAATTAAATTTAGCATAGGTTGGAGAAAACCCATGAGCATGTTCCTTCGAGGGAACATTGACATGCTATTGTAAGGATACATATGTACAATATACCCAAAGTGGTGAAGGGTATCAAAAAGTCGCGTGGCGCAGTCCGACTTTACTTCTTTCCTTACGGGTTAAGTATTGTTTCTTATGCTGTTATAACCGTGGATTTTTTAAAAAATAATTTTTATAAATTATTTTATGGATTTTTTTTTATATTAAATACCTGATTGAAGGATCATATGAGCGCGTAATTTTTAAACACATTTTAATGAAGACCAGTAGAGCATATATACCTTATTTTTTTGAAAGGCAATCATTTGGGATTTGTTTTAAATTATTTTTTTGAAAGGCTATAAATGTTTTTTTATATATTATTGGAACCTGATTTTTATACCCTCCACCATTAATATTCAATTTGTCATTTCCTTTGCAATACGGGGGAATATTGACTGTTAATTGGTATTTTGGATTCCTATTGGACAGAAATATTGCCTATTAGGAATAATCAAAAGATGGTCCAAGTCCGGGGTATTTTTAATTGTAATTGTATATTTTACATATATTTTTTAAATAATTGAGACCCCGAAATTTACGACTTAAAGTTTCCTAAGGACCATAAATGAGAAAGTGCCCTAAATGTGGGCTTAGTTTTAATTTTTCCAGGTCTCATATTTATACCCTACACAACTATGTTGTCAGGGTATTATAGCTTTGTGCAGCCCCAAATGTTTGTAACGCCGCGAAATATTGGTCCTAAAACCTTTAAGTATACCGATCGTCATTTCTAAATTAGTGTTCCATTTAATGTGTGTCCGTCCGTCCGTCTGTCCATTATAATTTGTAAACACGATACAGGCCACAGTTATGGACCAATCTTTACGAAATTTTGCATGTAGGATGGGTTCTGGCCAATGAAAACCCCTATTGTTTTTGGAAAAGATCGGTTAATATTTAATGAAATGTACTAAATTTTTGTCGGTTTTTATGGTCGCTCGAGAGGCAGCATTTATGGCCCAAACACCGCGAATGTTTGCATGGAGAAGGGGATCGGGCCAGAGAATAAGCATGCATGTTTTGATAAAGATTGGTCAATATTTAGCGGGTCAAATGGACCCTGACTTTTGTGTGAAAAATGAGAAAATTTGTATTCTATGGCATATATATTAACTCCTGGAGGATGTAAACCCCAGGAGTTGATAGCATATCCAAGAGGAGTGGTTGGCCTTTAAATTGATTCTAAATATAGTGATGTATCTACTCAGATGTGGGAGTTACAGTCAAATATGTACAGGTGCTTATGTATTCAGATATTATTTAGTAACCCATTATCACATTAGAGGGAGAAATATCGCGCTGATGGCTTTGAAATTTTTCATGAAGTTCCAGTTATGGTCAAGAACAACGCCTATAATTTTCGGTGATGATCAGATTAAGATTTTGGGATGAAATGGACCGAAAACATAATTTTTTGTGTGTTTTCGAGTAGAGTATAATCCGAAAATCACAACACACCCACCGTGAAGGTAATCTGGACAGGTAATTAGAAGGACTGTACTGAATATTCGAAAAAGGAGGTGTTGTTAACCTTTAACAAGAGGGGGCAAATATCACGAAATATTACTCAGACTCGGAATAAACATCCTCAGAAAGTTAGAGTTCGTGGTAGTTGTGTAGGGTATCGTATGGTCGGCCCCGTCCGACTATACTGCTCCGCTCACTGGTTTTGATTTGTATATCCCTCATCGAAAAATATTAATGATTTCGTTGGAATTCCCTCAAATTGTGTTCCATTTTATTGCATATTTTTCGGAATTTTGGGTTAAGGTTAACACATTTTAAAGAATAATTTGAGCTAATTACGAAGAATTAAAATGTAAACGATTGCTATTATCAGCATAACACAATGAATTCAAATTCGCAACAATTGAAATTTAATTATCAGATTAATTTTAAATTAAATGTATGAATGAATGTATGTGGTGTTTTAATATATGCCGATCTTAATGTTTAGGGTGCTTTCAGTGATCCTCTGGGTATTTGAATTATTTTGTTGTGGGAATAAAACGTGCTGAAATATTTCTATTCTAAAAAGATTTCCGGTGTGTCGGTCTTTTGCGCAGTTTCTCCAATTTTTTGGGCCTTCTGGGCTGGGGCATCTTCATCCATTCTTACAACATGAATTTTTATAGGAATGAGAATGATATATGCTTTTGAGTTGTTTGCTCAGGCCATAGTAGCATCGGTTGGTCATCACTATCCTTCTCCGAATTTCAAAACTGATGTCATTCGTTTCATTTATGGCGGTACCAAGGTATATAAAATGTTTGACTACATTGAAGCTGTAGTTCTCAAGTTCCACAGTATACTGGACGTTTTGCCCGTTGATACCATCAGCTTAGTCTTCTCGCCGTTTACTGCCAGACCCACTTTGGCAGACTCCATCTCAATTTGTTCAAATGTTTGACCCATTATGTCGATGTCATCGGCGTAGGCTAGTAACATGTGTTGTTTGGTGTACATAGTGCCATTTTTGTTCAGTTTTGCCTCTCGTATGACCTTTTCCAGCAGGATGTTAAAAAGGTCACACGACAAACTGTTACCTTGTCTGAATCCTTGTTCGGTACTAAAGGGCTCCAAGAGGTCCTTTCCGACTTTAACTGCCGATCTTGTGCCAGTTAAAGTTATCCTGCATTGCCGTATTAATTTTGCAGGAATGCCAAACGCAGACATGGCTTTATACGCCACTGAACGGATAGGGCTGTCGAATGCGGCTTTATAGTCGACAAATAGGTGGTATGTGTCGATGTGTTTTTCGTGGGGTTTTTCCAGGATTTGGCACAGAGTGAAAATCTTGTCGATGGTGGATTTGCCAGGTCTGAAGCCACATTGGTATGGTCCAATAATGTTATTGACCATTGGCTTCAGTCGGTCACAAAGTACGCTGTTTGGCACTTTGTATGCGATGGGAAGAAGACTTATTCCTCTATAGTTGACACATATCGTCTTATCTCCTTTTTTGTGCACGGGACACAGGATGCTGAGGTTCCAATCATTGGGCATGCATTCTTCAGCGAAACTGTACTAATCAGCTGGTGTATGCTCCTTACTAGCATCTGACCACCAGTCTTGAATAGTTCGGCCCATCGGCACCCTAAAAAAAATATTTTAAAAATCCACAAAATAATTTTTAAAAATCCACGCATTGTATTAGCCGGGAATAACTCTCTGCTGGGTAATCATAAAATTCCATATTATAATCCCACTGTGCCACAATAGCCACCACTACCACCAACCACCTCCATCCGAATGGATAATTCATGTGTTGTGACAATTGGTCATGAACTTGACATATTGCAAAGCCGGCAACTAAGTCGGCGCTGTTGTTGTTGTTGTTTATCCAATCATTGTGTGTGCGAGTGATGATGAGCACCGATTTATATCCACAGTCACAAAGACCGACTGGCCGGCTCAATTTAATTGTGCGGATTCTAAGCAATTGAAAATAATCTGATATAGTGTTAGAATATTTTTTTGGTCATTCGTAATTGTGTAAATTGATGATAAGCACAACCGAATTTGAAACTCAAAGAGCTAAGAAAAGAATTTTCAAAATAGTCATAAATAAATTCATGACAATTCCGACAGACTACAGTATGAAAAGAAATGTTCATAGAGACTTTTTTTTTGGATGAGACGCATCATAGACGAAAAACAGATTAATTCTTGTTCCGAACTTCCGTATCCGCATTTCAATTTCTTTGGTGTGTGTTTTTTCTTCTTCTTAGCTTTCTTTGCATAATCACAGCGTTCTATTGTACTCGGCTGACCGCAGGTTAAATATATATCTCGAGAGTGATTTATTTTGCATTCCTATAAAAATAGGCAACATTATTGCAATTTATTTTAGTTGTACGCCATCAGCGTTGAGTGTGAGTAACGGTTTTCAATTCAATTTCAAAAATTTATTTAATTTCCCATTTTTTATTATTATCTTGCAGGACATAGTGCCCAGGATTTGAAATGCATTCGACGATGTGTCGCCTATGGTTTCCGCTGCTGTTTTTTGTTGTGGTATTGGGACTGCAGCAGCATGAAGTCACTGCCAAACGGACCTTTGAAGTTGACTGGGCCAATGATCGTTTTCTCAAAGATGGCAAACCCTTCCGTTTCATTGCCGGTTCATTTCATTATTTCCGTTCGCATCCGGATACCTGGCAAAGGAAATTGCGTACAATGCGTGCAGCTGGTCTAAATGCTGTTACCACGTAAGTTACGAAAACTAACCAGATTATGAGATAATTGAATAGTTTTATCGAATAGAAACAGAGAGAGAGAGAGAGAGGGAGAGGAGACGAGAGAGGGGCCGAGAGAGTGACATAAAGGAAGATAAATCACATGTGGGCCGTGTTATATGTTTGATAACCACTTGAGAGTGGAACTAGGAAATAGTATTTCATTCAAGTGCTAAAAGGGTAGATTTTTTTCAAGGGTCAAAATAGGCGCCCATTCTTAAAAAACTAACACCTTAAATCGGATGAAGATATATATGGGAGCTATATCTAAATCTGAACCGATTTTCATGAAACTTAACACACATCATTCTAGACCTTATTCATTACGTTGCGCAAAATTTCGTGCAAATCGAAAGATATATAGGGTCTTCGGTGCACCAATTACCTTAAATCGGATGAAAATATATGTGGGAGCTATATCTAAATCTGAACCGATTTTCAGGAAACTTAGCACACATTATTATAGACGCAATTCAGTACGCTATGCCAAATTTCGGGCAAATCGAAAGATATATAGGGACTTTGGTACACCATTCAACTTAAATCGGACGAAGATATAGGTGGAAGCTATATCTAAATCTGAGCCGATTTTCACAAAACTTAACACACATCATTTCTATTAATTACGCTGTGCAAAGCACAGCGTAGCACAGCGTAATGCAAATCGAAAGATATATAGGGTTTTTGGTACACCATTTACCTTAAATCGGACGAAAATATATATGGGAGATATATCTAAATCTGAACCGATTTTCACGAAACTTCGCACACATCATTCTAGACTTAATTCATTACGCTATGCCAAATTTCGTGCAAATCGAATGATATATAGGGACCATTTACATTACATCGGACGAAAATATATATGGGAGCTATATCTAAATCTGAACCGATTTTTTCCCAATTTTAATAGGGTTCGTCCTTGGGCCAAATAAGTGACCTGTGTCAGTGTTCCTCCAATTCGGATCATAAATGCGACCTGTAATTTGTTTACAATTTAACATGGACAGACGGGCAAGACGGACGGACGGACATGCATAAATCGACTTAGAAAGTGCCACTGTATAAGGCGTGGATTTTGTAAAGAATATTTTTCAAGCCACTGTACAAGGCGTGGATTTTGTAAAGAATATTTTTCAAGCCACTGTACAAGGCGTGGATTTTGTAAAGAATATTTTTGTGGACTTTTGATTTAAAAAAATATCTTTGGATGTAACAAAACAACGCGTGGATTTTTTAAAAATTATTTTTTGAAGAAACACAACAAGGCGTGGATTTAAAAAAAAATGTACGTACCCAAAATATTTTTGAATTAGTACCTTAACTAGTTCCAAGCATCCAACTACCACTTCTGCTAGAAGCAATACTATGCGTGGCTTACATGTTAGTTTTAATTGCTCGGCTTAACTTGTAGGCTTGTAGGTGTGCGTGTATGAGTTCACTTGTATGTGAGTGGGTGTTCGGTGTGCGTTTTTTGTTTTCCTTTAATTATGTGTCACTTAATTCACCTCTTGACAATGACATTCATTTGATTTTCCTTTTGTTTACGCATTTTCCAGCTATGTTGAATGGTCGCTGCATAATCCGAAAGATGGTGTCTATGTCTGGGATGGTATTGCGAATTTGGAACGGTTCATTAAATATGCCATAGATGAGGATTTACTGGTCATCTTAAGACCGGGGCCGTACATATGTGCCGAGCGGGATTTTGTAAGTGGGGAAATTATTTTCTTTAATAACAACAACAAAGTTTGTGTGTTCTACAATTTCAGGGAGGATTTCCTTATTGGCTGTTATCAAAATATCCCAACATCAAATTGAGAACATCGGATATTAGTGAGTATACGATTAGGGTTTTTTTAAATATCTACAATAGGCGTGGATTATTTAAAATGTTTTTTTTTGTTTCTCCCATCCCAGATTATCTCTATGAAGTTCGCATTTGGTATTCCCAGCTAATGGCCAAAATGGATACGTACCTCTATGGTAATGGTGGTCCAATTATTATGGTCCAAGTGGAAAATGAATATGGTTCGTATTATGCCTGTGACAAGAAATATCGTACCTGGTTGCGTGATGAGACATTGGGTCATGTTAAGGATAAGGCAGTACTCTTTACCAATGATGGACCCAGTGTACTGCATTGTGGCCATATCGATGGTGTGGTATCAGCAATGGACTTTGGTGCCACCAACAACTTAACAGATATTTGGAATAAACTGAGGAGAGTACAGCCGAGAGGACCTCTAGTGAATGCTGAATATTATCCCGGCTGGTTGACACACTGGGGTGAGAGTATGGCAAGGGTTAATACCAAATCGATTACCAATACTTTTGTGTAAGTAGAAGGGTGGAGAGGGATTAGGAGGGTCTAAAACTTATTTCTGATTATTTTTTGTTTTTCTTTTACAGGGAAATGCTAAACGATGGAGCCAGTGTCAACTTCTATATGTTCTATGGCGGCACCAATTTCGGATTCACCGCAGGCGCCAATGATGGAGGCCCCGGCCGTTATATGGCCGATATCACCTCCTATGATTATGATGCACCCATGACAGAGTCCGGAGATCCCACATCCAAATATTTTGCCTTACGTGAAATAATTTCCCGCTTCTTGCCCATGCCAAATATTTCAGTACCGGATCCAGTGCCCAAGAAGAAATATGGAACTGTAAAGCTACAAACCTGTTGCTCCATGTTATCAAAGGCTGGACGTCAACAATTGGCCACTGGGGTGATAATCTCCAATAAACCCAAAACCTTTGAGGCCCTACATCAGTTCTCCGGCTTGGTGTTATATGAAACTTATCTACCAAAGACTCGACGTGATCCGGGTGTGCTGCACATACCCGGTTTAAGAGATCGTGCCTTAATATATGTGGAAAATGATTTTGTGGGTATTCTATCACGGGAATCGGCCATCTTTGATTTACCCATACCCCTAAGATCGGGTAAGAAGCTGCAGATTTTGGTGGAAAACCAGGGACGCATAAATTATGGACCTGTCACCGATGCCAAGGGTATTATTGGAGATGTGGTGTTCGACAAAAAGGTCTTGACAAATTGGAACATAACAAAATTCCCCCTGGAATCCTATGAGGACATTGAACGCCTGATAGAAAAAGAGGGCTCCCGACTCAACGAAATCGATTCGTTTAAAATGCTCGATGCCGGTCCCACCATATTTTATGGTTCCTTTGAGATCAAAGACTTACGCACCAGTGACACCTATTTGGATACGACAGGTTGGAGTAAGGGTATCGCCTTTGTAAATGGTGAGAATTTAGGACGCTATTGGCCAATGGTCGGACCCCAGGTGACACTCTATGTGCCAGCCGAAGTACTTAAAGTCGGTGTCAATAATGTTGTACTTATCGAATATCAAAGTGCGCCGGAATCGGCGGAAATCACATTTACCGATAAACCGAATTTAGATGGCCTAAGGAATTGAAGGAGTGAGGGGGAGGGGAATGCGGTGAAGAGATTTAGACAAAAATTCAATTTTTATTATTATATAATTTTGTGTTTTAATGTAAGCGTAATTGTGTGTGTTTTAATAAAATTTATACGTAATTAAAATGAAGGAGCTTGAGAATTTTTTTCAAGAAAGTTTTTAAAAAATATTTTTGATGGTCTACAATAGGCTTGGATTTAAAAAAAAATACGTCTAAAACTAAGCCCAGAACGATGTGTGCTAAGTTTCGTGAAAATCGGTTCAGATTTAGATATAGCTCCCATATATAGTTTCGTCCGATTTTAGGTCAATGGTGCACCAAAGTCCCTATATATCCTTCGATTTGCACGAAATTTGGCATAACGTAATGAATTGAGTTTAGAATGATGTGTGTTAAGTTTCGTCAAAATCGGTTCAGATTTAGATATAGCTCCCATATATAGTTTCGTCCGATTTTAGGTAAATGGTGCACCAAAGTCCCTATATATCCTTCGATTTGCACGAAATTTGGCATAGCGTACTGACTTGAGTCTGGAAATACGTGTGATAAATTTCGTGAAAATCGGTTCAGATTTAGATATAGGTCCCATATATATTTTCATCCGATTTAAGGTAAATAGTGCACCAAAGTCCCTACATATTCTTCGATTTGCACGAAATTTGGCATAGCGTACTAAACTAAGCCCAGAACGATGTGTGCTAAATTTCGTGAAAATCCGTTCAGATTTAGATATATCTCCCATATATATTTTCGTCCGATTTAAGGTAAATATGGCACCAAAGTCCCTATATATCCTTTGATTTTCACGAAATTTGGCACAGCGTACTGAATTGAGTCAGGAAATACGTGTGTTAAATTTCGTGAAAATCGGTTCAGATTTAGATATAGCTCCATTTATATATTTTCGTCCGATTTAAGGTAAATGGTGCACCAAAGTCTCTATATATCGTTCGATGTGCATGAAATTTGTCATAGGGTACTAAATTAAGTGTAGAGTGATGTGTGTTAAATTTCGTGAAAATCGGTTCAGATTTAGATATAGCTCCCATATATATTTTCGTCCGATTTATGTCAAATAGTGCACCAAAGTCCCTACATATCCTTCGATTTGCACGAAATGTATCATAGCGTAATGAATTGAGTTTAGAATGATGTGTGTTAAGTTTCATGAAAATCGGTTCAGATTTAGATATAGCTCCCATATATATTTTCGTCCGATTTTTTGTAAATGGTGCACCAAAGTCCCTATATATCCTTTGATTTTCACGAAATTTGGCACAGCGTACTGAATTGAGTCTGGAAATACGTGTGTTAAATTTCGTGAAAATCGGTTCAGATTTAGATATAGCTCCCATATATATTTTCGTCCGATGCAAGGTAAATGGTACACCAAAGTCCCTACATATTCTTCGATTTGCACGAAATTTGGCATAGCGTACTGAATTACGTCTAGAAACATGTGTGTTAAATTTCGTAAAAATTGGTTCAGATTTAGATATAGCTCCCATATATATTTTTGTCCGATTTTATGTAAATGGTGCACCAAAGTCCCTATATATATATTCCGATTTGCACGAAATTTGGCATAGTGAACTGAATTAAATCTAGAAAGGCGTGTGTTAAATTTCGTGAAAATCGGGTCAGATTTCGATATAGCTCCCATATATATTTTCGTCCGATTTATTGTAAATGGTGTACCCAAGTCCCTATATATCTTTCGATGTGCGCGAAATTTGTCATAGCGTATTAAATTAAATCTATAGTGATGTGTGTTATATTCCGTGAAAATCGGTTCATATTTATATATAGCTCCCATAGATAGTTTCGTCCGATTTTAGGTAAATGGTGCACCAAAGTCCCTATATATCCTTCGATTTGCACGAAATTTGGCACATCGTATAAAATTGAGACTTGAGTGATGTTATCGATATCATTTCGAACGGATGTCTGATTGAAATTAATATCAATTTTCCTATAAATAGTTTTCTATAAATTTGTCTAATGGTACGCAGACGACTCTAAATCTGCCCAAATGAAATTAAATTTAGCATAGATTGCAGAAAATCATGTATATGTTCCTTCGATGGAACATTGACATGCAATTGTAAGGATACATATGTTGAATATACCCAAAGTGGTGAAGGGTATCAGATAGTCGGCCCCGTCCGACTTTACTGCCTTCCTTATTGGTTTATATTTATTTTGTATTGTATTTTTAATTGTCAATTCTGGATTCGATGGAATTTTTTATTAGTGTTAGTATTTATCCTGCTTACAATTTTTGTTTCAAATTATTGCATTAATTTGGTTTTCTGTTAATCTTATTTTTATTGCATTTGAAATAAGGTATTTATTTTCGTTTGTTATTTTTTTAACAACATTTAGCAGTTGTTCATTTTTAAATAATTCATAATTTTTGATGCCGCTGTAATTTTTTGTTGTCTTTTCTTCAAAAAAATAAAAGAAAGACAACCATTTGACATTTTTTGGCCTTGGCACAATGCCTTCGAAGGGTGGCGGTCATTCAGAGTCATGGATGGCATCGCATTGTTGTCTTACAGCCGCAGGGCCTAATGTGAATGTGCGTTGGCCAGTTATGAGAGACTATTTATTTGATGGTCGGCAGAGGGGGTTGGAGGTTTAAAATTATCCATATTTGTTTTAGACTATAAAACAACAATAACAAACATGGCAGAGGGAACATGAGGGTAGAGTTTTCTAAATAAAATAATGAATCTCTTTATACAAAAATAATAGAAGTTAGAATTGTTGATTAAAAAAACTGAAATTTCTATTCCAGAAAATAAAATATTTTTATTTTTTCGATAATCATATATTCTGAGTACTATTTTCTATGAAAGAAATTCCAAAATTTTCAAATGTTTTTTTTTTTTTTTGGAATATATGCAAGAAATTTAAGTTTTTCCATTATTTTTTTTAAGTTTTTGTTTATCTACAATTCAAACATTATATTCCTGCGCCTAAAAATATACACCAGTTTCATAACATATTTCGTTTTGGGCCTCTTAGGACAGGTTAGTGTAAAAACCTTTTACTTTTCTTTTAAAACAATTATTTTTTTCCCTCTATGGGATCTTGAAAAAATAGTAACCTTTCTTCTATGTCAAGCTCATCCATTTAACGCCATTCTTTTAATGGGTCTGAGTGTGTGGGGGTTTTTTGTTAATTTAAGAGCCATTAAAAAAATGGTGCATACTTTTAGGTCGTTTCACATATGTTAGCTAAAAATAAACGCAACAATGTATGATGTGCTGGTGTGTGTGTGCGAAGAAATGAATCACGTACATAACCTCAAATGTGTCATTGCAATAGTGGCTTAATCATTTGTAATTGGCTTGGCTTAAAAGAGAAGTAGAAGAAAATGAAGATAAAAAAAAATAATGGTGGAAGGCGGAACACCTGAGGATGGGTTTAATTAAATGAAAATTGGATAACTGGGAGATAGTTCTTGGTTTGTCTTCATTTTTGAATAGCAATATATTTTTTTTAAGGACTAGTTGAAGGCTTGGATTTTTAAAGAATTGATTTTCAAATACTCAAAGAGACGTGGAGTTTAAAAAAAATATTTTTTTTTTAAAGAACCACAGAGACTTGGATTTTTAGAAAATTTTCTTTCAAGGACCCACAGAGGCGAGGGGTTTTAAGAAATATTTTTGTCAAGGACCCACAGAGGCGAGGGGTTTTAAGAAATATATTTTTCAAGGACCCACAGAGGCGAGGATTTTTCATGGACTCACAGAGGAGGATTTTTCATGGACTCACAGAGGTGTGGATTTTCTTTCGGCACACAAAAATATATGTGTTTAAAAATCCGTGTTGGTTTTTTTTTCTTTCAAGGACCCACAGAGGCGAGGGGTTTTAAGAACTCACAGAGGAGGATATTTCATGGACTCACAGAGGTGTGGATTTTCTTTCGGCACACAAAAAAAATATGTGTTTAAAAATCCGCTGTTAGTTTTTTTACACCCTTCACCACACTGTGGTACTTTGGCACAAGGACAAACCCCATTGAAATTGGGAAAAATCAGTTTAGATTTAGATATAGCTCCCATATATATTTTCGTCCGATTTAAGGTAAATGCTGCACCAAAGTCCCTAAATAGCTTTCGATTTGTACGAAATTTTGCACAGCGTACTAAATTAAGTCTACAAAGGTGTGTACTAAGTTTCATGGAAATCGGTTTAGATTTCGATATAGCTGCCATATATATTTTTATCCGATTTAATATAAATAGTGAACCAAAGCCCCTAATATCTTTCGATTTGTACGAAATTTGGCATAGCGCACTGAATTAGGCCCAGAATGACGTACGTGAAGATTCGTGAAAATCGGTTCAGATTTAGATATAGCTCTCATATATATTTTTTTGTCCGATTTAAGGTAAATGGTACGCCAAAGTCTCTAAATATATTTCGATATGCACGAAATTTGGCATAGCGTACTGAATTAGGCCCAGAATAACGTACGTGAAGATTCGTGAAAATCGGTTCAGATTTAGATATAGCTCCCATACAAATTTTCGTCCGATTTAAGGAAAATGGTGCGCCAAAGTCCCTAAATATTTTTCGATTTGCTCGAAATTTTGTATAGCGCACTGACTGAAGTATAGAATGTTGTGTGTTAAGTTTCGTAAATATCGGTTCAGTTTTAGATATAGATATATAGATATATATATCCCATATATAGTTTCGCCCGATTTAAGGTATATGGTTCGCCAAAGTCCTTAAATATCTTTCGTTCAATTTGATGTCAATGTTCTTTCGAAAATACGACGTCTGTTACGAGCCAGATGGTCTGTTATGAGACTATGTGGTGTTACCAAAGTGGTGAAGGGTGTCATATAGTCGGCCCAGTCCGACTTTCCTACTTTTCTTACTGGTTTTGTAATATAAAACATTACAAAGATATTCATACACATGTATGTATGTATTTATATATATTTATATGTATTTAGCCTATGTTTAGGCCATTTCA